CCCCGCCATGGGCGGCGGGGCGGCGCGGCCCCGCTGAGCCCCGGACACCCCCGTTCCCCCGGGAACTCGGCTCCGCTGCATCCCGGCTCCTCCGATAACCCGGTACTCGGGCAGCCCCGCAGCTCGGTTCCACGGCACCCCGCAGCCCGGACGCCCCCGGCAGCCCGGACACCCCCGGCAGCCCGGACACCCCCGGCAGCCCGCGAACTCGGCTCCGCTGACCCCGACTCCCCGACAGCCCGGTGCTCCGGCGCCCCGGGAACTCGCACCCGCAGCACCGCAGCTTCCCGGCACCAAGTGCTCCGGTTCACTCTTAGCCCGGTCCCGCGGGCTCCCCCATAGCTCAGCACCCCCATCTCCCTCGGTACCCCAGAACTCCATCTCCCCGTTAGCCCCGGTTCTCACCGCTCCCCCGACCGCCGGGCTCCCCCGGGACCGCGGCCATGGCGTTCATGGTGAAGAGCATGGTGGGGGGGCAGCTGAAGAACCTGACGGGTGGTCTGGGGGGCGAGGAGAAGAGCGAGAGCGAGAAGTCCCCGGCCGAGGCGCAGGGCATGACCCGCGAGGAGTACGAGGAATATCAGCGGCAGCTGGTGGAGGAGAAGTAAGTGAAACCGGCACCGGGTACCGGGGGATCCCGGTGGGTAACGGGGTGCTCCCTCTGCAGCCCTCGGTCCCACACACGGGAGGCTGGGGGGAGACAGCGCTGGGGGCCGCAGGGCCCTGAGGGAGTTTAATGAACCCCCTAATCCCTTAATCCGCTTCCTCGCCCGGGAGATGGGATTGTTTTCTTCTTTCAGGCTGCACTGGGGGGGAGGCGGAATCTAGGGAACTGGGACTTTGCAGAGCAGATGGGGGGTACCCAGGCTGGGGGGGGTGGGGGGAGAGGTGCTCAAACGCGGGGACTGGGGGCCCCAGCTGCCGGTAACTGCCCCACATGGTTCACAGGATGGAGAGAGACGCCCAGTTTGCCCAGCGCAAGGCGGAGAGGGCCACGTTCAGGTCCCACTTCCGAGACAAGTACAGGCTCCCCAAGGTACGGCCGTGCCGGGCAGGGGGACACACAGGGAGCCCTCAGCGGGGGCTTGGCGATGGGGTTGCGGGGGGCCAGACAACACCCCTGCTCTGCAGGGAGGGGAAGGGGCACCGGACCCGCTTGCCTGGGCAGGGTTTTGGGCTACAAAGCCCACGTGCAAATCAGTTGCCCTAAAAAGCATCCTTCCACGCAAATCTTGGCCCCTTCCCATCACCCTTGAGCACCGCAAGCCACCAGCCCTAAACAGTAGGACCCCCCACACACCCCCTCTGCCTTGCTTGATCCCACTCTTCCTCTCTTTCGTGGCCTTAAATCCAGCTGGATGAGGGAAAGCCGCCTTTGCCCCAGACTCTCAGCGCTGTAGCTGGGAGCGGAGCTGGAGTTACACCTTCCCAGCTGGATTAGCCAGCTCCTTTCCCCAGATTATTTGGCAGACATTTCCTACCTAAACTCCTATTTTGGAATTTCCGCCTGATGAATTATTCACTAGAAACAATTTAATCAAGGGATAATTCAGCCATTCTTGGAACTGCCACAAGCTCTTCTCTCCCCAGCCCACCCTTTATCCAGCAAGAGTCTCTCAGTGGTGAATACTCTAAATTGGAGCTGGGCTAATATTAGTTCAGGAAGGTCAGCTAAGCCAAGTGATATTGTTCAGATTGTTTGATATTGTTCAACCAGCCTGGATGCACACCCCACTGCTTCTCACACCGCCTTTTATTGCCAGGAAATAAACAGCTGGATAATTAATTTTTCTCTTGCCAAAAGCTAGAAAAGGCAAAAAAAAAAAAAAGATGGAGATTTTTTTTTCTCCAGGGGAAACGGGGATTTGTTCAGATCTGGCCCCCCGATCCTTTTGTTGCTTTCATGCTTGAGATGTCCCTTCTAATCTTTCGACAAGTTCCTTCTGCTTATCACTGATCCTGCCTGGCAGCTGCCTGCCTCTTGCAGTCTCCCCGTGGCTCTCCAGCGCAGAGCTGACCCCGATCTCCGGTGGGCACAGTCATTAAGCACACATATACCTTAATTGGTGCCTAAACCTCCCCAACCACTCTAATGCGAGCTGAAAGCAATTTATACTGATGCTAGCACACTCAGGGTTCCATCTCCAGTCTCGCTGTGTCTGTTGGTGTGTGCCCAGGCTCTACTGAGCCATGTCCCCTCTGGGTCAGTGTCCGACCCGCAGCACGAGCATGGCTGTGAGCCCCGGGGACCAACCCACGTGGACCTTAAAATGGGAAGACAGCCCAAAGTCCTTGCTGTGATCTTTGCATGTGCCTTTAGTGCCTCCAGAAGCCTCTATTCCCACCTGCAACATCCCCCGCCTGACTTTCTCCTGGCCCATTTCAGAATGAAACGGATGACAACCAGATCCAGCTGGTGGGAGGCGACGTGGAGCTGCCCAAAGAGCTGGCCAAGATGATCGAGCAGGACAACGAGGAGGAGGAAGAGAAGAACTCGGTTATCGGCCAGCTCAGCAACATCCAGAACCTGGACCTTGACTCCTTGAAAGACAAAGCTTCGGCCACACTAGAGGACCTGAAGCAATCGGCTGAGAAATGCGTGGTGATGTGAGGCGGCTGAATGCCTCCTCCCCATCAACATGACGGTGGGGCAGAAGGGAGGGCTTGCAGCGAAGGGTCTGGCGGTGGCTGTTGCCTGCAGCGGGGACCCCACTGATGTTGTCACCCTTGCCTTGTGTGAGTCGGGTCCTCCTTCTGAGCCGTGTGAGCCTCAAGTCCCTGACCCAAACGTCCCTGATGTGTGGTTTTTGTTTTGTTCTCTGGTCTGAGGTTAGAGCAAAGAGCCAGCATGTCCCCTCCATACCCCAACGCCTCCTCCTGTGCCCGTGGCAGTGTGTCTTTAGCGAGAGCTGGGTGGGTTGTAGGGAAGGGAAGCCCTGAGTGACCTCGGAGTGTTACTGAACCACATCAGTGCGGGAAGGCAAAGGCTTTCCAGCAGCGCTGTGGCCATACACCGTGTCTCTGCCTACACACTTCATCCAAGCCTCCTAGAAATGACAGAGAGGCTCCAAATTTCTTTGCAAGAATGAGGCACAATGTGAAATACCTCTCCCCTCCCACCTCAGCCTGCATCCCTTACCCGTCACACAAAAAATGACATCTCATCCATGCAAGAAATACCAACTGCTTTTTCCTTGAGGATCCCCCCCAAAGGAGCCAGCTGGGAAGGATCCCATTTTGCCCAGCAGGAAGGGGGGTGTTGAGGACAAGAGGGATAAAACCTGAATTAATGCCAGAGAGGAATAAACCCCCTCCTCAGTGCTCATCTGAACCCACACCAGCCCTTCCCCAGAGTGGCAGTGGCACACCCTCCCTCTCCCGGGGTGGGATCCACTCGTGTCCTTGTTCCTCCCAGGAGAACAAAGTGATAAGGGAAAATCTCCTCCTTTTCTGCTGTGCTGTAGTTGTGCGCTGTGCTCAGCTGAGTGTCTCTCCACCTCCTATGCTGTCCCCGTGCCATGGTACTGTTTAACCGATGGAATAAATACCAGGAGATGTCTATGCATCTATTTTTCTCCTCGAGCAGTACTTTCCTGATAAAGGTTTTGGGGTACCCCAAGGTACAAGGGGTGTAGAGAGATCAGGTGCATCTCCTCTACAGGGCAGGGGGAAGCAGTGACAGGAGCTCAAGGGAGGAATCTCTTGCAGCATCATTCGGAAGAACACATCATGCCTGGTTGTGGTCAGGTGTTTTGCCATGTTTCGAACCAAAGGGATGCTATGAGCAGGTCTTTGTTGGCAGACAGCTTTAAAAGCAAATAAAACCCCCAGATTTCACAGATTTTTGGCTATTTTAGTAAAAAGCCTCAGAGCACTCACCAGCTCCCTGCCTCAGTCTCATGGGTACTGCAGGGTGTCCATGGCACTGCTCCGAGCAAGGACATGTCTCTGTGGGGATGAGACCGTGATAAATACAGGTGTGACTTCAAGCCAGAGCAGCTCCAGCCTGCCAGCATCCCCGTGGGTGATGGGCTCCTGCAGCGAGGCTTCCTGGAAAAACTTGGCACAGGCTGGGAATTTACTGCTCCAGATCCTAGTGGAGCAGATTAACTGCTATTTGCATTTGCAGGGTAGTTGGGTCATTCAGGAAAAAGCAGGGGAAGGTGCTGGGAAACTATTATTATTATTATTATTTATTTATTTATTACAGCAAGGATGCTGGACCAGGCCATGCCTGAGGCTGCTGGGCTGAGAAAATGCTCCCTGGTACAGCCAGGAGATTGCTGCCTGCCCTCAGTCATACCATGCAGGGGCCAGGTAGTCCTGAGGAACTCCTCCTAACCTCCGAAGTCAGAGGCTGTCTCACCTCTCAGAGGAAATCAGCCGCTGCTTTGGCTGCAGGACAGACAGAGGCAGCTCAGGCTCCTGGCTGCAGCTCAGGTGTGATGCTCTGCCCACGGGGACACGCATCACGTCATCCCACGGGATCACCCGTCACCACAGCCCTCCAGCCCCAGGGACCAGGCTGCTCTCCAGCCCTGCAGAGACACACCAGAAGCTCCGGGGAGATCTGCCCCAGGCAGAGCCCTGCCCCAGCCCCCCCCAGCACTGGAGGCTGGCAAGAAAGGAGAGGGAACGTTGGCAGAAGCGGCTTTAGTTCTGAAAGGAGATCATACCTGAGGCTCAGGCCAAGCTCATCTAATCCCCCACCAGGAAAGGGATAGCAGAGAGCAGACGCTGACCAAGCCAAGCCCTCCACCCTGCCTTGGCTTTTAAATCCCTGGCTGATGGCAAGGCCTGATCAATAAAACACACTGTGGGCGAGCGGGACCCTGACCACAGCAGAGGGAGGGAGATGGGGCTGGAGGATGCAGCCCTTTGGTTCATCCCACCCATAACTGGTGTAACCCCACCAGGACACAGCCTGGACCCTCTCCCCCACCTTTTATTTTGCTCCCTTTACCCGCTCCCTCAGCCACGGACCCTCAGCTCGGCTCCATGCTCGCTCCCGGCCCACGTGCCACCACGCAAAGGCCGCGTGAAGCTTGGCGGGTTTATTTTAGGAGGCACCATGACCCCCAGGCATGTGAAAAGCAAGCAGCACGCGCTCTCCCCGCTTGGATCCACGATGTGTTAAGCCTCAGCAAAACGTTCCCGGAAAAGCGTCGTGAGCTCCGAGGATGCTCTGAGCCTGCAGCCCTGCTCCCGTCGCTGGCCTGGTGCCCGTATCAGGGAGGAGGGTTTGGGGTGGGGGGAGCAGGGGCAGGCAGCCCTCCTCCTGCTTGTCCCCTGCCCATCGAGGCATGCATCCCGTTTGCCAGCATTCCCCACTGCCAGGTCCTCGGGCATCCCTGCAGCTGAGCACCCCGGCTGCCTGCACGCCATATGACTGCTCCGGGCATCAACACACGGGCTAAAAAACCTTAAAGCAAAGAATTAGTGCAGATTAAAGAAGAAAATCTATTTTTTTCTTGTCTACACTATAAACTCCTACATAATTCCCTCACCTATGGGGCCAGGTTTGGGGTGGATTTGTCCAAGCAAGCCCTTACTGGCTGCTGGAGGATCTCTGCCAGCAGCAGAATTTATCCATAGATGCCCCGTGGGTGGGCAGAGCTCCTGCTCCCCTGCACCGGCGTGGAGCAACCCCTCAGCGTACGGCTGCAGAATCAGGCCTCCTTTCTGCTGGTGAGCGCGGGATGACGTGAGTGGTTTCCCCAGTGGAGAAAGCATTAACTGAGCAATCGTTAAAGCACCGAAACAAATGAACTGGCATCAAAGGATGGGGGATCTCCACTGAATGCTTTGTTTTTCTTTTTGCAGGCAATTAAAGCTCCTTGCAAGCTGCTGCAGGAAGGGATGGCCCCATCCATCCCAGGGCAGCATCGCTGTGCTGCTGGGCAGATAGTGGGATTAATCCGGATTAAAGAGCACAGGGGAGAGCCCGGGATTGGCTCCACACGCTGACCCAGCTTCTCCCAACCCTCTTTCTTTAAAGCCCATTAAGCGAACTCACATCACTGAGTAACCCACATGCTGGTAGAAGGAGGGTGATAAATCCATCTGCCGTCCCTGTGTCCCTCCCCAGGTGACAAGCCAGACCCAAGAGCCGGCTCGGGAGGTGCCAGGCTGGAAAAGCCCTTTGATGGGAGGCAGGACTGCTTTAGCACGCTTCCCCACTGGGCTTTGCCATAACCCTGACAGAAGGTGGCCGGAGCATGGCAGCGCTCGCTCCTCCCCGCTCGGCCAAAGCCATGCCCCAGTGGCAGAGGCCACTGCCGGAGGTGGCCCCACGCTGCCGGGCTGGGGACTGCTCGCCTCGTGCCTCCCGCCCTCCAGCCTGCGCAGTGCATTTGGGCGAGCCCTGATGCGGAAAAGTCTCCCATCCACCCTGCCACAAAGCCAGGGCACCCCAAGCTCCGTCACCCCCAGGGCAGTGGCCGAAGCTTCTCCCCGCTTCAAAAGGTTCCAGATTCGGCCGCGTCTTCGACAGAGCGTAAAGACAGATGTGATTATCTGCGCCGGCTGCCGCAGCCAGGCGGTTCAGCCATGCCCGGCGGCTCTGCGCTAGCCACGGGCCAGGGGAGGGCAGGGGCTTTGAAAGCTCTTTAAAGCCTCAGGATATAATCTCTGCTCAGAATAATATTAATAATAACAAAAAAGACATAAAAATGCCTTGCCACATCTGCCCAGGAATCCCTCCAACAGCTTGGGAATGGAGCAGCTGGCAAAGGACTAAAGGCTGGGGCTGCAGTGGTGGGGAGAGAAACCATGTTATGGGGCAGCATCTGGGGGGAAGGCAGTCTCAGAAGGAGCTTTGCTGGGGCCATGGCTCAGACCATCCCTAGGGTCCCCCCAAATCACCCCATCATTCGCTCCAAACCCTCTGCCTTTCCCCTACACCCCCTGCCTAGCCCAGCCGTTCCTCACCCACCATAAACATCTATTGAAGAAAATGTGATTTTACGTAATCTTTCATGTTGTTCTGCTTGATGTTTTACATGCACACACACACAAAAAAAAAAAGATCTGAAGCAAAAACAAGGTCAAACCTTGCTTCAGCTGCCTCATGTCCCCAGGGAGGACAGGGAGGTAGGGCACTCCCAGCCAGCGCTGGCAGAAGGGGAGGAGGGGACCCCTCCGGCTCTGGTCTTGGGCAGGGGGACAGGGACGAGGGGTCTCCAGCCCTTCTCAATGACTCCAAGCACCCCAGGCTGGCTCCTGGTCCTGAACTTGGCTGGAGATCCCTCTTGGGTCTTAAAGCACAAACCCAAGACTGGAGGAGTTGGAGAAACCAAAGTAAGTGTTTATTGAAGACAATAAATTACATTCCCTTAAAATACAGTAGATTTTGAGACAAGTCTCTTGCTTTGCAGGACAGATAGACCTCACCACCCCAGATCAGTGACTTCTGAAGGGCTGGGGGGGCTCCTGGGAATATGATTTGGATATTCAGGTTGTCAGAGCCCTGAGAAGCAGAGCAGGCAGAAGGCCGAGGCTCTGCCTTTGGGGAGGTATCGCTGTTTGCAACCGTGCAACTCTGTCCCCGAAGGTGATTGATTTCTGCTCATCTGTTTTACTCAACAACGATACCCGCGGAGGAGCATGCACAACCAGTTAGTCCCCGCTGAGCACTGCCAACACCTCATGACACAAATGACAAACACAGTCAGTACCTGCCAGACTCCAGTGCAGGCAGGTTTAGGAAGCAAAAGCCTCGACCCCGATGCTCCAGCAGCGAGAGGGAGGTATGGCTGGGCTGGGACAGTGCAATTGGGTGCTCGAGGCTGGACGAGCGGCCGTGGGCGCAGAGAGGTAGTTGCTGGGTGAGAAAGGCACAGCGGAGGGCAGGCGCAGGCAGCGTCCCTGACCCCTCCCTGCCCGCTGCCACCACCAACAGCCTGGAGCTACCGGCGGGGTTTTGTGGGTCTGGGCTGTGCATATGCTCTGGGCTGCCCCAGAAGAATTTGGGAGGTGGAAGAAACATCCAGGCAAAAAGGCAAGAGACGTATGCGACTGGCAGGGGTGATATTCTGCCAGAGCCCAGTGACAGGACAAAAATACCCAGCCCGTCACAGGCAGCAGAGGGAATTAGAGTGGAATAACCTGTCTGCCGCGTCAGGCAAGGCTGCGGCAGCAGACGGTCGAGGCAGGGCTGGGAGGGGACTCTGCCTGTTGGTAAAAGACGATGCCAGAGCCTGTGGAGAGGGGCAGATGGTCCTGCGGACCCTCCCGTGGGACGCTCCAGGCATGGGAGCCCAAGGGTGAGTCCCTGAGGCGGTTAGCCTGATGCAGTAGGGACAAAAGCCTCGTGTTTCCTCCACCCTGCCGATGGCATCTCTGCACAGCCGTGCCAGGGCGGTGAGCAGCATCCTGCCAGCCGGCTCCGGGGCCTCACTGCAAGGTACAGCCTGTGCCGGGGGACAGAGGACACTCACTCCGCTGCACACACCCTCATCACCCAGCCCGAGTGGGCACCCGGGCGCAGATGACCCCATGCCGAGTGTGTGTGGGGTGAGGATTACCCACAGGCAGAAATATCCCCGTGGCTGCTGCAGCTGTAGGGACACTCCCCACCACAGGACCGCAGCCACGAGGGGGGACGCTTCCCCAGGCCTGTTTCACCAAACCCTCTCTGATGGGACAAGAGAGGACAGAGATGGGGACAGAGATGGGGACTCACTGCTCCGGACGGGTTCCGCCAGCGCCTCCTTGCCCATGGACTGTGCCTCCCGCATCTGCCAGAGGAGAGGATCATTTCCCATCCCGCACACCCCCTCCCTGGCATGCTCCAGAGCCCCCCGCCAAGCAGCCGTACCTTAATTTGATCTTTCAGGTACTCAGCTCGGGCCATCAGGGTCTGGATCTGGTGGAGAGAGAGAGTCCCTTCAAAGCCACGCCAAAGGGGACACGCTGCTGTCCCACAGCTGGCACTCACCTCCGCGTGGAGCAGCTCCCGTCGCCTCCCCGCAGGCTCCGCTGCAGAGGGAAGAGGGATGTGCCCTCAGGTCAGCCACGGGCGCAGGATCTGTCCCTGCCCCGCAGCACCCACCGCGGCCACAACTCACCGGCCAGGAGGAGCAGCAGCTCCCCCAGGCTCTGCTGGTAGAGCTCCAGGGTGTCACTGTCATCTTTGCCTTCCTCCTCCTGCAAGAGACCGGGCTGCAGCTGCGATATACACCAGCTCCCTCCCCACCTGGGTTTGCTCCTTCCCCTTCCACTCGAGGGGAGAGGAAACCCCCAAATCCACGGCTCACCTTAGCGATGGCAGCAGAAGCCACTTCCAGCGCAGCGCAGAGCCGAGGCTTGTCCTTGGCCATCTCTGCAAGGGGACATTGCAATAGAGAGCACCATGGGGAGGTGGGGTACCCTTCAGCCCAAAACCCCACCAGGTGCCCCCTTCCTGCTCTGACCCCAGGGAGGGGGGGTGGTCCCCAAAACACACTACCTTTAAGAAGCTCTCTGGCTGGGTTCCCTTGTTGCAGGAGGTTCTTGCTGCTGGAGGTGACCAATACCTTCAGCTCCTCTGCTCGGGAGATGTACTGTCCCACCTGCCCAGAGTGGGGGGGGGGGGGGGGGGGGGGGGGACCCCCCTACAAAGTTATTGCTAGACACATTGTAATTTCAGCCCTATGTTACCTCCTGTGTTTCCCATGTAGTAGTAGATTTTCAATAATTTTGGAAACTTTAAAGCTTGAGTTGTCTCTGGAAAAGCTGTTTATTTGCACTCTTATGTCTGCAGATAGAACTGTGCAGCCCTGTTACTATGAATTGCAGCTAGATGCTCAGATATCCCTGTTTGCCCAGGAAGAAGATGAACACACTGAGTGAGATTCATTTCACGTAACTGTAGGCATTAAAAAGCTGGATTTAACCTCTCCTGATAGACAATGGAAGAAAGTGAGTGCTTTTAAGGAATGATTGTCTGGCCTATCCTAAATCCTATTTTAGAATGTAATAAATCTCCCTCTGAGGTAGCCCCAAAAGCTTGCAAAAGGAACCTAGAGTGGTCATGTCTAGCTTTTAGTTGTCTGTATTTGGGCATAGGAATCGTCTCAAGGCTAGAGTCCTCCACCCTGCTCCACTGTGTCACACTTGCTGATGATAAGATTTTTGCCAGCGCAGGAAGGACATTGTATACGTTCAGTTATCAGTTTTCCCACTTGGCAGTCTTTTTCATAAACCAAACACTCAGATTCTCAATCCTCACATGCTTCCTTTACGAGCTGACA